GTTTAAAAAAATTCAAAAAAATTTAAAAAAAATATTTGAAGGATGGAGCACTCCTTCCACCTTTTGTAAGATAACTTTGTTTTTATTTTATTTTAGTTTATTTATTTTTTATTCATTTAATTTATTTTGTTAATAAATTTTAATTACTAATCAATAAATAAATCATAATATCTTTGAATTTGATTTTTGTATTCCTTTTAAAAAAATAATAACAAAATAATAATCAGACTTTTTAGAACCCTGACTGTCCCTTTTCCTTTTGTAGGATTTTCTTTTAAAAAGTAAAATATTATAGAAAAATAAGTTTTGTGTTACTTTAAGATAGAAACAGAATATTAGAAGAAAAAAATATATTATCTATCTATAAAAATCATAGTCCATGGAAATTACCACAACACCACAGCTGAAAAAATCCATTGTTGGTCTATTGTATTGGGGTAAAATGGGAAACTCCAAAATATCTTGCACCACATTGATTTGAATCTGATGTGGCACTCCCACAATTTTTCACCACATTTTCAATTTTTTTTTTCAAATAAATCCCACATATTATACTGTTTTTTAAAATAAAGAACCAATTCAATTTATTGTGCAGGCAGCGTGAGAAACCCAACCATGGGGAATACCAATACATTATTCCTTGCCATTCATTGTGCCTCTCTTCCTCTTCCCCATGCCAAACCATTATGCCTCTCTTAATCAGAATTCAAATTCAAATGGAACACCAAAAGTTTTTCACTCTTCCTTCAATCCTTCCCCAACAGAGATTGGGACGTTGGCGTCGATGTTGTGGAGATATCAAAAAGCAATAGCAGGTATCAAAAAGCATCAAAATTTCGAATTTTTAATGGTCTCTTTTTAATATATCCATCTATATGCTTTTGTTCTATATGATTAATCTGGTGAAATTGAGAAATAAATATACTGTGTGTGCAGGCTTCAACTCTACATTGCGGCTTGGAAATGTACACTGCAGATACTTTCTGGTTTCAGCTTCATGTAACCTTTCCATTTACTAATTGCTCTTACCTTCTTTAGGTTGGAAAACGAAGGGATGTTGGTTTAAACCATATTGCCCTATTTGAAGGGAAAGTAGCGGGTGGTATTGGAGAGCAAGTGGTTAGCAGGGATATTACAGGCTAGAACATTGTTGTATTAATTATTAACTGCAATTTTTTTTTTGTTTTTGTTTTGGTTACAGGGTGTAGAGTGTGATTATAGGCACAATGAGATTGTGAGGCTTAACCCGAGGGATTGCTGGTACTGGTTATCGGTGAATTGTCTTAATCCGACTTGTGCTTTTCGACATCCTGTAAGTTCTTCATTACTGAAACTTTGAATATGTGGATTGGAATGAGTGAAACTTTGATGTAAATGTTGACTTAATTTGTGTATTTCAGGTTAATGTTTACCGATGACTTGAGTTCGGCTACGGCGCGATAATGTGGCTGAATTAGTGCAACTGTCAAATACTATTAATGTTTCTTCGCTTCAACTCACGGAGTTTCTGCTCTTGAACAAATTCTGGTCATTGGTTTTGTTTCGAAATGGTACTCAACTACTAAAGCTTTCCTTTAAATTTTATCTTTTGTAATGATAACTTAAGGGTTGATTTCACATTTCATGCAGCTTATCCCAGTATCTGGCTTCTGTGAAGATGGTAGGTTATTTGAAGGTAAATTTATTTTTTGTAATGATAACTTAAGGGTTGATTTCACATTTCATGCAGCTTTATCCCAGTTAGAGAAAAATTTGACAGCAACTACAGCTTCACATAACTATGAGCAGATGATGCCAGCTGCTGATGCCTCAGGTGTTTTGTGCTGGTGTGATACAAGACACTCCAAAATCCATTTCTTAGATTTTAAAATATATTTGCAACATTCTACTGAACCAAAATGGTGTGGAGTAATGGCATTTCAACAATCTGTCAATTGCTGTTATGGGATAGTGTTCTAAACAGCTGAGACTTTTGTTGCAGCAGGTAAGTAACATGAAATGGAAGCTGATTGTAAAATGTTTGGTTTACAGGTGAATTTGCGTGAAATATAATATAATGTCTATGTCGAAATCTGTTTTTTATCCATTTGTTATGACATCTCTCTGCAGGCAGCAATTGCAATTGCACAGAGACTTCGTACCACGAGCGTTTTCTTGCAAGTATCCTAACCAAGTAAGTCTATATTCATATATCATTCTATTCAAATTAATGTTTATAGTTCTAGCTTCTGATGAAATACTAATATATTTTAACGTGCTGTGTTCAGGTTTCATTTGATTTGGTAGAAAAGTACCCAGAGGATTATAATGGTTTTAGAGAGAATGCATTATTTCAAGACTATCATCGACTTATATCTATCAGAACTGTAATGGAAGCCTTCATGGAATAAGTAAGAGGTGGTAGCCCCAAATTCGAGCCATAAATAATAGTCATTACTCCTGGAGCAGCTGCTGCTAATGAACTCTTAACCTTCATGAAGCCAAGAAGAGAAGCAAAAGAGCTATTTAACCCAAATTATCAACACTGCTTCTAACAACTTCTTAACCTGCTCAAACATCAACAACCTGCTCAAGCATCAACAAGGAATGTTTCATTTCAAAATTTTAAAGATCGATCTTTGATTCATTGATGATCTTATTTAAATGAGATTGTGATTTTTTATGGTTTTTGATTGAGATTCGATTTTGTTTTCAAATTGGTTATAGAATTATGGAGATTTGATTAGAATTTGATTTGATTCATCATCTTGGAGTTCAAGTTTATACATATAGAAAGATTAGATGTAATAAGGAATATTTTATATAATAGGCTGCTATGCTAATTTAAGGGTGCATTTGGAAAAGCTTTTGATGTATTTTTCTTATGGTTAATAGATATAAACAGTAGTAAATAATAACAATCAATAATACTAATAATAATCCGACTATTTAATGATATAATACTTATAGACAAAAACTAAAAACTGAAATAAAAATAAAGAAATGGTTATAAATTAAAACAATAAAATAAAAGAAAAATATGAAAGAACTTAAAACTGAAATTATTGATTTATCATATTTGATGATAATTTTCTAAAATGAATTATAATTTTTTTTTTTAACTAGCATTTTTTTAAGATATGAATTATGTAAGATTTTTGTCAACATCCCAAATTATATATTATTAACATTGTTTTATTTTAATTTGATTTTTGTTTATTTGTGGACTTTTATTAATTAAATAATAATCATTTAAAAAATTCGTTTTTAGCGTGGACGTTTCTTTTGCTCTTTTTTTTGTTTAAGTTGATTTTTTATTATTTTAAAATGAAATAAAAATTAAATCCTTTTTAATTTATTTGTCGATTTCATTAAATAAAATATTAAAAATATTAAGTTTAAAAAAATTCAAAAAAATTTAAAAAAAATATTTGAAGGATGGAGCACTCCTTCCACCTTTTGTAAGATAACTTTGTTTTTATTTTATTTTAGTTTATTTATTTTTTATTCATTTAATTTATTTTGTTAATAAATTTTAATTACTAATCAATAAATAAATCATAATATCTTTGAATTTGATTTTTGTATTCCTTTTAAAAAAATAATAACAAAATAATAATCAGACTTTTTAGAACCCTGACTGTCCCTTTTCCTTTTGTAGGATTTTCTTTTAAAAAGTAAAATATTATAGAAAAATAAGTTTTGTGTTACTTTAAGATAGAAACAGAATATTAGAAGAAAAAAATATATTATCTATCTATAAAAATCATAGTCCCTGGAAATTACCACAACACCACAGCTGAAAAAATCCATTGTTGGTCTATTGTATTGGGGTAAAATGGGAAACTCCAAAATATCTTGCACCACATTGATTTGAATCTGATGTGGCACTCCCACAATTTTTCACCACATTTTCAATTTTTTTTTTCAAATAAATCCCACATATTATACTGTTTTTTAAAATAAAGAACCAATTCAATTTATTGTGCAGGCAGCGTGAGAAACCCAACCATGGGGAATACCAATACATTATTCCTTGCCATTCATTGTGCCTCTCTTCCTCTTCCCCATGCCAAACCATTATGCCTCTCTTAATCAGAATTCAAATTCAAATGGAACACCAAAAGTTTTTCACTCTTCCTTCAATCCTTCCCCAACAGAGATTGGGACGTTGGCGTCGATGTTGTGGAGATATCAAAAAGCAATAGCAGGTATCAAAAAGCATCAAAATTTCGAATTTTTAATGGTCTCTTTTTAATATATCCATCTATATGCTTTTGTTCTATATGATTAATCTGGTGAAATTGAGAAATAAATATACTGTGTGTGCAGGCTTCAACTCTACATTGCGGCTTGGAAATGTACACTGCAGATACTTTCTGGTTTCAGCTTCATGTAACCTTTCCATTTACTAATTGCTCTTACCTTCTTTAGGTTGGAAAACGAAGGGATGTTGGTTTAAACCATATTGCCCTATTTGAAGGGAAAGTAGCGGGTGGTATTGGAGAGCAAGTGGTTAGCAGGGATATTACAGGCTAGAACATTGTTGTATTAATTATTAACTGCAATTTTTTTTTGTTGTTTTTGTTTTGGTTACAGGGTGTAAAGTGTGATTATAGGCACAATGAGATTGTGAGGCTTAACCCGAGGGATTGCTGGTACTGGTTATCGGTGAATTGTCTTAATCCGACTTGTGCTTTTCGACATCCTGTGAGTTCTTCATTACTGAAACTTTGAATATGTGGATTGGAATGAGTGAAACTTTGATGTAAATGTTGACTTAATTTGTGTATTTCAGGTTAATGTTTACCGATGACTTGAGTTCGGCTACGGCGCGATAATGTGGCTGAATTAGTGCATCTGTCAAATACTATTAATGTTTCTTCGCTTCAACTCACGGAGTTTCTGCTCTTGAACAAATTCTGGTCATTGGTTTTGTTTCGAAATGGTACTCAACTACTAAAGCTTTCCTTTAAATTTTATCTTTTGTAATGATAACTTAAGGGTTGATTTCACATTTCATGCAGCTTATCCCAGTATCTGGCTTCTGTGAAGATGGTAGGTTATTTGAAGGTAAATTTATTTTTTGTAATGATAACTTAAGGGTTGATTTCACATTTCATGCAGCTTTATCCCAGTTAGAGAAAAATTTGACAGCAACTACAGCTTCACATAACTATGAGCAGATGATGCCAGCTGCTGATGCCTCAGGTGTTTTGTGCTGGTGTGATACAGGACACTCCAAAATCCATTTCTTAGATTTTAAAATATATTTGCAACATTCTACTGAACCAAAATGGTGTGGACTAATGGCATTTCAACAATCTGTCAATTGCTGTTATGGGATAGTGTTCTAAACAGCTGGGACTTTTGTTGCAGCAGGTAAGTAACATGAAATGGAAGCTGATTGTAAAATGTTTGGTTTACAGGTGAATTTGCGTGAAATATAATATAATGTCTATGTCGAAATTTGTTTTTTATCCATTTGTTATGACATCTCTCTGCAGGCAGCAATTGCAATTGCACAGAGACTTCGTACCGCGAGCGTTTTCTTGCAAGTATCCTAACCAAGTAAGTCTATATTCATATATCATTCTATTCAAATTAATGTTTATAGTTCTAACTTCTGATGAAATACTAATATATTTTAACGTGCTGTGTTCAGGTTTCATTTGATTTGGTAGAAAAGTACCCAGAGGATTGATTTGGTAGAAAAGTACCCAGAGGATTATAATGGTTTTAGAGAGAATGCATTATTTCAAGACTATCATCGACTTATATCTATCAGAACTATAATGGCAGCCTTCATGGAATAAGTAAGAGGTGGTAGCCCCAAATTCGAGCCACAAATAATAGTCATTACTCCTGGAGCAGCTGCTGCTAATGAACTCTTAACCTTCATGAAGCCAAGAAGAGAAGCAAAAGAGCTATTTAACCCAAATTATCAACACTGCTTCTAACAACTTCTTAACCTGCTCAAACATCAACAACCTGCTCAAGCATCAACAAGGAATGTTTCATTTCAAAATTTTAAAGATCGATCTTTGATTCATTGATGATCTTATTTAAATGGGATTGTGATTTTTTATGGTTTTTGATTGAGATTCGATTTTGTTCTCAAATTGGTTATAGAATTATGGAGATTTGATTAGAATTTGATTTGATTCATCATCTTGGAGTTCAAGTTTATACATATAGAAAGATTAGATGTAATAAAGAATATTTTATATAATAGGCTGCTATGCTAATTTAAGGGTGCATTTGGAAAAACTTTTGATGTATTTTTCTTATGGTTAATAGATATAAACAGTAGTAAATAATAACAATCAATAATACTAATAATAATCCGACTATTTAATGATATAATACTTATAGACAAAAACTAAAAACTGAAATAAAAATAAAGAAATGGTTATAAATTAAAACAATAAAATAAAAGAAAAATATGAAAGAACTTAAAACTGAAATTATTGATTTATCATATTTGATGATAATTTTCTAAAATGAATTATAAATTTTTTTTAACTAGCATTTTTTTAAGATATGAATAATGTAAGATTTTTGTCAACATCCCAAATTATATATTATTAACATTGTTTTATTTTAATTTGATTTTTGTTTATTTGTGGACTTTTATTAATTAAATAATAATCATTTAAAAAATTCGTTTTTAGCATGGACGTTTTTTTGCTTTTTTTTTGTTTAAGTTGATTTTTTATTATTTTAAAATAAAATAAAAATTAAATCCTTTTTAATTTATTTGTTGATTTCATTAAATAAAATATTAAAAATATTAAGTTTAAAAAAATTTAAAAAAATTTAAAAAAAAATATTTGAAGGATGGGGCACTCCTTCCACCTTTTGTAAGATAACTTTGTTTTTATTTTATTTTATTTTATTTATTTTTTATTCATTTAATTTATTTTGTTAATAAATTTTAATTACTAATCAATAAATAAATCATAATATCTTTGAATTTGATTTTTGTATTCCTTTTAAAAAAATAATAACAAAATAATAATCAGACTTTTTAGAACTCTGACTGTCCCTTTTCCTTTTGTAGGATTTTCTTTAAAAAAGTAAAATATTATAGAAACATAAGTTTTGTGTTACTTTAAGATAGAAACAGAATATTAGAAGAAAAAAAACTAACAAAATAGATTTAAGTGTCATTATCAAAATCCATTGTTGGTCTATTGTATTGGGGTAAAATTGGAAACTCCAAAATATCTTGCACCACATTGATTTGAATCTGATGTGGCACTCCCACAATTTTTCACCACATTTTCAATTTTTTTTCTTCAAATAAATCCTACATATTTGTGTTGGAAGACATGCAATTGTCAACTGCAGAACTGACAAACCTCACATTAATTGAGATTGAGAATATGATGCAATCAAATAGAAGAAGCTTGCGTGAATTCAAAGATATGCCGTTTCCAGATTTGTATATAACGCGACATGTCGGTAATAGACTGATTTTTGATGAACGTGATTACGATGCTGATTTAGAGCGACAAAACTTCCAGAATCTATTTACATCTCTAACAAGTATTTCCTCATTATTCAAATCATCGATGTTTTCATTAAACTACTGTTGTATTGATTCTTTTCATTTGAACGTCAAGATGAGCAACGTGCAATCTTTGAAACCATAATGGACGCCGTCAAGAAACAAAATGGAGGGGTGTTTTTTTTACATGGATACGGCGGAACCGGTAAAACGTTTATGTGGAGGACATTATCAAGTGCACTTCGTTCAGATAAAAAAATTGTTCTGGCTGTTGCTTCAAGTGGCATAGCTTCCTTATTATTGCCAGGTGGTAGAACAACCCATTCGAAGTTCAAAATTCCCATTCCAACGCTTGACAACTCTACTTGCAATGTTGACAAAGACTCTGAGCATTCACAGTTATTCGAAGCCACTGATGTCATAATATGGGACGAAGCACCCATGGTTCATAAGAATTGTTTTGAGGCCTTGGATAAGACCCTTAAGGATGTCATGAGCGATAAGGGTTTTGCAAATACAATTTTTGGTGGCAAGGTAGTTATATTTGGAGGAGATTTTCGACAGATACTTCCAGTTGTTCCAAGAGCAGGCCGTTCTGATATTGTTCATGCTTCCATTTGTTCTTCTTATGTGTGGGACTATTGCCAAGTCTTAACACTAACCAAAAACATGAGACTAAAGAATGGGAGGGACGGTACAACTTCTGATGAACTTGCAGAATTCTCTAAATGGATATTAAATGTTGGCGACGGTAAAATATGTGAACCTAACGATGGATTAGCTGATATAGAAATTCCTCCGGATTTGTTAATTTCCAATTTTGAGGATCCAATAAGAGCTATAGTTGAAAGCACATACCCAAATTTGCTTGCCGACTTTCAAAATGTAGAATTTCTACAAGGAAAAGCAATACTTGCTTCAACCATTGAAGTTGTTGATAAAATTAATCATTACGTGTTAGACATGATACCGGGTAAACTATTTTTTCTTTTGATGTTTATTTTCGTGTAGATGTTTCGTTATTAAATTATTCTTGAAAAAACATTATGGATTGATTCGCGTTTTCCCATTTCTTAGGTGAGGACAAAGAGTATTTGAGTTTTGATTCGATTGATAGAACTGATTCAAGTTACACCGAAGCCTATGAATGTCTTACTCCAGAATTTCTTAGCAAGCTTAGGACTTCAGGTGTCCCAAATCACAAACTCAGATTAAAGGTTGGTACACCAATAATGCTTATGAGGAATTTGGACCAAAACGATGGTTTGTGTAACGGAACTAGACTAATTGTTACAAGGTTGGCAAATCACGTTATTGAGGCAAAGATCATGTCTGGTAAGAATGTTGGTAACATCTTTTACATCCCTCGAATGTCTATGTCACCTTCCGAGTCACCGTGGCCATTTAAGTTGATTAGGAGACAGTTCCCAATTATTGTGTTGTACGCAATGACAATTAATAAGTCTCAAGGCCAATCACTTGATACAGTTGGATTGTATTTGCCTACTCCTGTATTCAGTCATGGCCAGTTGTATGTAGCCATTTCAAGAGTTACAAGCAAAAGTGGTCTGAAGATCTTAATACATGATAGTATGAATGTATCAACATCTATCACTACAAATGTTGTATACAAAGAAGTTTTCCAATCTCTTTGTTGATCGGTAAGTACATAATAACAAATATTTTCTTTAGTATAAATTGTTTCCGTAAATGCTGTCTAATTTTTGCATAATTTATTGTGCGGGTCAAAAAGTTGAAAACATCATTTCCAAGCTGGTTGCGTTGTATCTGAAGACTCGTGATAGTTTCTTATTTTAAAGAGTCATCACAGTTTCTTATTTTGTTACACAATCATGATTTCAGTTTACATTTTTTAATGTTGTCAAATAAGTTTGATACACTGAATTTGGCCGAATTAGATGAACTTTTATTGAATTTCATAAAAACGAATTTACTGTTACATGACAACATTAGTTCCACGTTTTATGAATTCTCGACCAGTCCCGTGCGACAGCACGGGTTATCGACTAGTATTTAGTTATGATTTAATCGTGTTAAAATTTGAGTTATGTGCGGTAATAATTATCTTTATTAGGTCAACATTAACTCACAATTTATAAGTATGTTTGTTTGTTTATTTGGTTTTTGCACTGAAGTATGATTATAATATTAATTACTGTATAAAAAACAAATCTTATATTGGTAAATTATTAAATTAATTTTAACACTGATATTAAAAATAAAGTCTTATGTGACAAATAAACTTTGATATATAAATAATTGGTTAATATTATTTATAATTTGATTAATGTGTTTTTAAATATATAAAATAGTCTTAAATAATAAAATAAAGTGAGTTAATAAAATATAAAATATTAATTAATATTAATAATGATCATAATTTGATGTTCGAAAAGAGTTAATATTATATATTTTATTTATTAATGAAGTAATGAAAAAGATTAATAAAATATAAATAAAATAAATTGTTAATATTATATATTTTATAGTTAATAAAATGATGAATGGATTAATAACACAATATTTTCTTATGTTTATGTTATAAAATTTTAAAATTATCATAAAGAACATTTTTTATTTAAAAAAAGATTTCTCACATAAAAATGAGAATAAAGTATGGTGCAATTATTTGTGTTATTTTTGTCAACATATCATGGCTTAATTTTAAAAATAAATAATTAAGTTTACATTATAACTTGTATATAAATAGTGTTGAAAGAGTAATTTCTTGTGTCGAAAATAGTATGTTGTTCGATATAAGATGTGTTGAAATAGTTTAAATGTGTGTCGAATTATATATGTTGAAGTATCGAAACAGATTGCTTCGCACAAGATTTCAATTTAGGTCTAAAATAGTTATTTTAGCTTTTATAATTTTAGATTTTTTGATAAAGAGAAAACAACTTCATTATAAATAGAACGAATAATCCCTATTTTGGATTAACACTACAAAAATCTGTAGCGATGAAAAATCAGAGATTAAGCTATTGATTAACTTCACTCACAAAAAACAAGAATCGTCACCGTACTTTACTATTTTCAAAAGAAATGAGAAAAAAAACGAATAAAACCTACAAAAATAAAGAACTAAAAGTATAAGAATTTGTTATACAAAGAAAAAGTGTTAGCATTCAAAATATCTATAGTATTCTATAAGATCCTCTTGAAAA